CTTTTCATGTGTTTGTTTCTTCTTCTTCCCTTTGTTGCCTGAGCTACTTGTCTACAAGGATCCCTGCACTCCTGCAGTTTGTAAAATTTTGCATTTCCATATTAGCAGGCTGGGTACCTGCCAAGCAGTTCACACTTGCACAGTGACAGCAGATAATGTGCTTTGAATTTTCCCTCTGCACAAAGGTCAGTGAACTTTTCCTGATCACTTGCCTATTCCCCTGCTATCCTGTAGCCTGCAGATAAGTCCTCAGCAGTCTTATACTCTCAGTTCTGCTTATGTAAGAAACTTCTTTTGTGTTGGATGCAAATTAAGGCTCCTGAATTCTCTCACGTGAAGACTGCCTCTAAAAGTTGGAGAAATTGGCAATGCTCTGCCCTCTTCCTTGGTGCTATTAAGGGCTTTATCATACACTCAGTTCATGGCTTCCCACTGCAATGCAAAGCTTCCAGCAGCAAGGGGTGGTGGGGTGGTGGGGTGTCAAAAGCTCTTTAGTCAATGTGTATGTTTTAACCAGTAAATGTTACTGCCTGGATCATCTAGGGAACACTAGTGGTTTCAACTGATCTCTATAGGGTTTCATTTAAAATCAGCCAAGCCAATTGCTTTGAACAAGTATTTGAAATAAGATATCTGCAGAGGACTTTCTTAGAGCAGCACAGAGACAGAAGCTGGGTGATGGGCTTTCTGGTGCATCCAGGGACAGTGAGGTGATGGGCTGCAGCTGTGGGGAGGTGCAGGTAACATTCTTGGCCACGTTGCATGGGGCAGACAGCATTAGAAGGAACAGGATTGCCAAATACTTCTCATATCTGGTCTGGTGTAACCCAGGTTTCTTGGCAGAGAGCTGCAGAAACAGAGCCATAGTCTGAGCACAGCCCTGTGCCACATCTCTGTCCCATCAGACATCCTTGTTGTCCCTATGATGTGACATTGATATAATTAAAGACCTGCTTCCCCCCACTCAGGGTAGAGCTCACCCTTCACCTCACTGCTGGACTACATTGTTCCTGCAGTGCAAACTGTCCCAGCTGGTACCACACTGATGTTCAAGGCTGATTACTCCTGACCACATGGTTCTGGCTGCTGGATCTTTTGCTTTTGGTGTCCTTGATTGCTCTCCACAAGGGCTAAAGGCAAAATGGCCTTCTAAGAGCCTGTAGCATCAAGATCCCATTGGGGAGGAAGGATGAGAGGTGCTGCTAATAGAAAACATGAACATGCACCTGTCATGAAGAGCTCCAAATTTCCTGCACAGCCTACTGAAATTGAAAACTACTTTTAGTATGAAAAAAACAACCAGAAGCCAGCAACAACCCAGGAACTTGTATCCCTGGTACGGGGGGACTGTCCCAGCAGCTTGACCAGGTGCTGACGTTGTGGCAGTACTGAGGGTTTTCTCCCTGGTGGTCTTATCCTGTCAGCAGTCAGATGGGAACCAGCCATATTCCCTTTGTTTCTGCAGCACACTCCAGTGAGTGCAGCTGTTACGGTAAGTATGTACAAGACAGAGACATCTCTATTTTATGGCACAGAAAACTACCCGGAAAGCTTTCACATGAAAGGACATTTCCATTTACTGTTTTTTTGCTCAGCCTTATTAATCACAGAGACATTTATAAACAAAATATGGATCTGCAGCAGAATGTAGGCTCAGCTGTGCTCATCAAACTTATTTTTCCATGTGCAGTTCAGCTTCCTCTGTTTCATTTTTCATAACAGTGTTCGCCTTCCCACATACTTTTCCCTACTTTTATCTCTGTTACAATCTCTTTTCTCATGAACTGTCTTTCTTGCTTAAGAAAAATACCAAACAAAATACTTCTCTGGGTTCCTCTTTATTCTTTCCCGTTTAGGCTCCACAGGGCTCTCTTTCAGGATGTGTTCTGGAGGGTTAGTTCATTATGAAACATTGACAAATGTCAGGTAAAGTCAGTGCACCACACTGTCATCTGGAGGCTCCTGTCCTACGCTACTAACATGTGCCTCTTGCATGGGCAATAGAATCTGATGCTTTCACAGAACTGGTCTAAGTGAAGCACCACAATATTAGCAAGGATAGTGTTACAGTTAAAATCTGTTGCCAAAAGGAGCAGGAAGGTTGGCAGGGCATGTGGGTGGAGGAGTGTCTCTCGCTTTCTTTTTTTTCCTTATTAAGGGACCTGATCTACATGAAGTTTCATTTCATGAGTAGACTACAGCAGAAAATGGCACAGGGCATGGAAATCACCTTCATCTTGTGGCTACAGCACCTTCTACACCAGGAAAATGTCCTCCTTTGCCCACACCTCTCCTTGTATCCGGAGACCCATTGACTTGGGAAGGGCCATGGTTCTCTGTGGCGTAGTTTTGCTGGGAACAAAACAGCTTCTACTGTGGGAGGGCACAAAAATGCAGCCTGACGCCTTTGCCTCCCAGCTGCTGGCATGTAGAGTGAATGCAGGGTAGCACTGCCTCTGCTCTGAGGAGCAGGCAAGGAGAAAAGAAGAGGCAAGTGAGGCTGGGGATGCAAACCAAACCAAGGCAGTGCAGAACATGGCACTGGTATGGTTAGCACAGATGCTGTGATACCTTTGCCTCCTAGTAGTTTTGGCGCCATTGGGTGCCACTCATAATGAGAAGCAATGATTTCACTGTGGTTCTGGTATGTTGCCCATAATTAGTGCGCAGTCCTTTAATGCTAATTACCTCACATATTAATTCCTTAAACATCAATTAAAAAAATCACGTGAAAATTTACCTCTTCCTCAAACGAATCATGAGTTAGCATGGGTGTACTTAAATGTACTACTTGGACTTGCTTAATTAGTTAATCTCTGTAAAGGGGTTTCAAATGTGTGAAGAGCTATCAAACTGCTAAGTGCATTATCTTCAATTAATTTTGTGCAACTACATCTTCACTACCAAGAGGATCTTTAGAGTGCTGAGGGAAAGAAAGGGAGATGTTGCTTCTAATTTTAAAAGTAACTCATCAAAAAAACAGAATTAGCTGAAGGGTGATTTGACATAGTGGGAGTAAGGGTGAACATGCCATTTCTTCTGTTTCAACCAGGCCTGACTATGAAAGATTAATCATTCATGTCCCTCCCCTGCCTGTGCTCTGGTCTCTGATTACTTTGCTTCCATCTTCCCCTGGTCTTCATCTCTCTGACTGAATATTAACCCTCTCTCATCCAAATTTGATATTACCTTAGCAAAGAAAACGAACAACAAAAACAAGGAGCAAATTGCAACAAAACAGTCTTCAAGACTGTGGAGTCACTGAGGTTACACCCTCACACCAACCCAGTAATAAAGTAGCTTGTTCCAAAAGAAGCAACATGGACTTCACTTCAAAAGGAGATGCTGTAAATCCAAAACAGTCTCCTACATGAGAACAGGGCCAACTCCAGCCTAGGATGTCATATGGTATCTCTCCGTTTCCTGAACCACCCTGGCAACCAATGGAGATAAACTCTTGTTTCGTGTTTCTTGTGTGTCTTTCCAAGTTTTCTATTCTATTTAAAGCTTATATGCCTTGTTAATTTTTCTCCTTTTACTTCACCAACTAATAAGCTACTTTTGATGGAGTTTTCTCAGAAATTTGACGGTGGGTTCTTTCTGCTAATACTCTGTCTAGCTGGCAGCTTTGTTTAGGCCAACTCCATTAAATTGGACTTTACCAAGAACCCATTTCCTGGATTATTTTTCTCCCATTGGGACAAACAACGTTTAAAAACACTTTTCCTGATGGGTCTGATTTGTGTTTAGAGTTTTTTGATGCATTTTCTTTCTTTCCGAAGAATAATAAATCATCACTTCCTTGCTGACTGCCAAGGTCCTACATGTCATGAAAAAATCAGGCAGCTTGTTTAATATCAATTTGTCTAAGCAGTGGTTATGCAGCAGCATCTCCTTCAACAGGGTTTGGATAATTTTTAATGTGCAGTATATTTGTATCACATCTGGGCATTCACTCAGCAATGGTTTAGACTTATTTCATCCAAGAGAAACTGGGACAGAGAACAGACTGGCCACAACTTTATTTTCTGCGTACTGTAAAGTAGCAGCTTAACCTGTTGGATGAGGCACTCCAATAGAAAGTCAGAGCCAAGTGCAGAGTGATCTTGAACACCCCACATTCTCAGGGAAAGAACTTTTGCCACCAAGCCAGAAAAACCTCTTCTCTTCAACCCCTCCCCAATTCAGTTTTACAAAAAGAACCAGTGAGGATACTTACTGTTATCCAATCCAGTGGAGATTAATTTAGCTGAAGGGCCTGACCTGTTCTAACCGGGATGTCTCAGAGAACACCTTGAACATGGGACAAGCTGTTGTTATGGGGAGCAGAAGAAGAGCAGAACTACCAGAAAAAGCAAAGAAAGTAGCTTCTTGCCCTCACCACTGGTTTGTTTGTACAAAATCTTAAAGAATCCTTTCATTTGGTGTATCCATACAGTCCATACCCACAGAAGGTTGTAGAGAGGTAAGCCAGAAACTATTTAGTAAAGTCAAGGTTACCTTGCAACTCAGCCTAAATCTCCTCACTTTCCTTTTCTACCTGGAGGATTTATGTAATTGCCAATGCTCATTTAATTCACCTGGGTGTTCTTTCTGCCTCTGAAGGAAAGGTCAAATAGACCCTGAAGAGACTGTGAGTGCTACTGGATCCAAAAGGAAGGGGTAAGACTGAAATACTGAAGCCTGACTTGTCTGAGGTGCATTGCCACGGAACAAACCTAATTGCAGAAACAGGGCAGGGAGGATCCAGCAAGGTCTCAATGAGTAGTCCAGGATTTTTTCTCCCTCCCCTTCATGGTTGTGAAATATAGGGGAAAAAATTCCTGTCCTCTTCAAAGGGTTCCCTTTCATACCAACATTTCAAAAGATCATTTGACAATAAATTAACACAAAATCAAAAGCATTGTATGTCCTGGAGGCAAGTGAAGATGCACTCCCTCTCTGTCCCTGTCATGGCAGGAGAGCAGCTCCAGCTTGGCCCTCTGGGGTGTACTGTGCCCTCACAGGAGCACTGGTGTGACATAGTTGGCAGGAAAGAGACCCAGTTCCCCACGCAGACGTCCTTTCCACCATGATGGGTTGGAGCTGTCCAGGACTTCTAAGATGTCTCCACTGCGGAAGCCCAGCTCATCATGCTCCACAGCCTCAAAGTCATATAAGGCCCGGACCCATAGCGTGCGCTGGAAAGGGAATGGAGACAGGCAGGGAAAATGAGCCACAACTCTTAAAAATCATCCTCCTCCCACCCCTCTTAGACCCCAGTACATATGTTCACTAAGAGAGGGCAAACAATGCTGAAATTGAGACCATCTTCTAATTAAACCAGGGAGTGGTGAAGCTTCCAGGAAGGAGGCATCAATTTACTGGGGCACCCAAGGGATGGTGCTTGGGTTCTCAGAAGCCTCAGTACATTCATAAGTGTTTACACCAAAAGCTGAAAAGTCAGTCTGAGAGCAGGTCCTTAGGAAACAGTGTTCACATGGGTCTGTCTCCTTCACCTGTGACAGCCACGTTTGAAGCTAGTAATGAGAGCACAGAAAAGAGCTCCTGCCTGAGTATTTGCTGGGCTGTACACTGTAAGCAAATGGCTCTAGGTGGGCAGACTGATGTTGGTAGGGATCTAGAAATGTGTCCTGGGCCAGCAGAGGATAGTGAGGGATACATCAAGAGAGCTGGCACACAGGCAAGCCTAGTGAACATTGTAAAGAATGGTATTTGCTCTTTCAGGCACTTCTGGGGCAGAGAGGAGGGTCTTAAATCTTCTTTTGACTCTCCCCAAGGTCAGTCTCCTGAGATCAAAAAGATTAAGGAACAGTTTGGGTGTATTAGTTTATTTTGGGTTCGTACTTTAATGAGCACTATAGTCAGATTTTTTCTTATGAGAACTTCATCATAAGAGACTTTACAGTCAATCTGTCATTTTGACCAGAAATCAGATTTTAAAGGACATAGCATGGGATTCTATTTTGGGAAACTGTTGGCACCCACACCATGGGGCATGGAAAACTTGGGAAGTGTATTTTGCAGCCACACAGGGAGAGATCTATTTGAAGACAGACTAACTTTTGCTAATCTTCAATTCATGCTTAGACATGGCTCCTAGTCATTTGGCTGGACATATAGACCTTCATAGAATTTGATTTGGTGGCTTCTATATCACTGATGGGCGGTGGCAAGCAAGGGCATGTTGTTATTCATTGCCACAGCTTCTGAGGGATAAAAGCTATTGTATTTTGACCTGGTTTATAATAAAGATTTGGGCCTTTTGCTCAAAGGAGACATATCCCCTCCCAGTTTCCCAATCCAAGCTGTCCTCTTAAACACTGGATAAAATTATGCTGTCCTTCCCTTCCCTGTTTGGATCTAGATTCTGTGGTCGTTTTGGGCTAGGCTGTTCATTTCCTCAAGGAAGGGGAACATACCTTTGGTCAGACTCCTAGGAGCTGATGGAGAAATACTTTGGAGTTGGCACTGGAATAATGGGCTGAGGCAGAGAAAGACATCATGCTCTATACTGGCATTCACATAATGGGAATTTGCAGATCAGGTGGTTACTTAAGGTCACCTGCCAGTATGGATCCAGGTAGGAAAGCAGTCTGACATGTCTACAGAGACATACCTGGATCCTACCCAAAACACTGTGCTAAGAAGCTCTGAAAGGTAAGGGTGACAGGTAGGTGAGTCCCAGTTTGGTGGGATAGTTGGTCTTAGAGAATGTGCCAGGTTCAGACAAGTAGAACTGAGTGATGACCTCCCTTCTCAGCACTGAAGCAAAATGTAGTGGAAGAGACAGCGTGACTGCAAGTGGATGGCAAGACAGAAGGAGCACTGTAGAATGGTACAGTATCATGAGGCAGCTCTCCCAAGGACTTGGGAAGAGTACTGTACTTCTAGCTACTGTGCTTAGGAAGGCTTGGTTGTGGTGGGAAAGATGCTTTCTGGTCCCTTGCATTGATGGACATGAAGCCCTTCTAGGAAAGATCCTTAAGTTTTCAGAAATGTCTTCCACAGGACTGAACTCATGCTTGATCTGAACCTCATTCATAGTGCCCAAATATGCCTGTCATGTTGAGCTCATGCTAGGTTCCCTCTCCTACTAAGTCTGCACATAAGACTGGCCTTGAGATGAGCCCAAGAACTACGCTGGTGTAACACTGCAGTTCTACCCTCAGAGTGCCCCAGAAGCAGATTCGAGTGGTTGTGACAGAGTCCTGAGATTCAGAAACACCTTCTAAGGTGTGTCCCAACAGGCTTAATACACTGTTCCTCGTGCAACCTCTGTACAGGTGACATTGCCCAGACTGCTTGGCCATTGCTAAGAGACCCCTTGAGTTGGGCAGATGGAGACTTCCAGGTACTTCACCTACCGGTGTCTGCTGGTGCAGTGGGTCTGTATGTCTCCGATGCATGGCTGCTGCACTTCCTTGGCCATGATCCCTTAGTCCACGCAACCCATCTTTCCTGTCCAGACTCCCACCATATCTATCCTAGAAAGACGACATCAAGAGAAAAGTCATTAATATGCTGAGGTGTATAAATAAGGGGCTTTAAGAGTCACTGTGGCCAGGGAGTCAGGGTTCGGCCCTCAAGTAAATCTTATTATATATCTGCTTCCAGCAGAGTCCCTATGCTGCAGTCCTGCAAGCACTGCTCCTCATGTAAGAAGTCACTTTGGACTGTTCCATTTTGGATTTTTCTTAGAAGTTGAAAGTAAACTGTGCTCAGCTGTGTACCACAACTGCTGGGAAAAGTGCTAAGAGAGGGGCCTTTTTGGCTTCTGGAGAAAAACTAAGGCTGTTCTAACTCACTGGTGAGAAGCCATGCTTGCCAAGGGAGCGTTTGCCAGTCTATAGTTGTTATGCTCCAGTCCTGCCCACTCCTTGCTCTTGCTCTGTCCTGTATGGTGGTGGAATAACAGAGATTCTGATGCAGCTGACTGTGTATCTGAGGTCTCACTATTTTACTTTTCCTTTGGGCTGCTCCATGCTGTAAAGGGCAGGGAACAAGCCTGAGAATCCAGATAACCCAATTAACCCAACAGGAAAGGGACAAAAGCAGGTTAAAAAAAAGAAAAGAAGCCATATGACTACACATCTGAAGTCATATCAACATGAATCAGTCCAGACAGATGGAGAGAGGACTTAGGCAAGATCTGGGGAGAAAGTTCTCTTTTGTCTGCACAGCTGAGAGGTGCTGAGTATCTTCATCCCCCCAGGCCCTTAGTACATGCATTAAGCTTTTTTTTTATTATAACAGTGTGAGAGAATCTGTTATCACGTTAGCTCAGGTTGCAGCAGTGCTTCAGTGACATGGGGTGTGATCAGTTGTGTCAACAGAGGAGATGAAGAACAACAGTTTGTGCTTGCTGTTGCTTGTAAACAGCTTTCGTCCTCTCCCTCTTGCTGTTTCCTTTTGTGTACCTTCTCCTCCAAAAGCTTCCTTGGTCTCACTGGCACGTTTGTCAGCCTCAGAGGTTTCTGAGATTGCCTGAAACTGGAGCACAGTTTGCACCTCACCTGTCCCTGCCAGAAAGTGAGTTAACTCAATCTGGCTTTGCAGCTGCAATACTTACTACATAGATACTTCCTCATATGGGTGTTTCTCCTCCATATCAAATGTGACTCATGCATAGACTGTGCTCCAAAGAGTGCAGGCCCTCAGCTTTGTCAGAAACTGTGTTATTTCATCAGCAGTCTCCTGACAGGCAACACAACTTGTCTGATGAGAGAACAGCCATTTCACCATTGTCCCTGGCCTTGCTCTATGGAGCTCTCTTGCCTATAGGGACATGGCTTTGGACTTCTTCCCTTCAGCAG